TATTGAATATGTTTTCATAGAATCAAATTAATTTTTTGATAGATGTTAGAAATTTAGCTTATTATTCATTAGAGGTATTTCTATTATTTGAGAATTCTATTGGTAACAAATCAAAAAATTTTGTTCGATGAAACACAAATTTTAATTAAATTGAAAAATATTACAAGCCCAAAAGGTATTTTTAACTTCTATTCCAAATCTGTTTTTAAGATTGCATTAAAAGTGTATGTATAATTGGGGTAGTTGTTTTATTCAATTTGAATTTTTATTATTTGTCTCATTCAACCTTAGTTTTAGATTTAATTTTTCCATTGTTCACACCTAGAAAACTTTTATTGTGATACAAAGCATCTCGCTATGTGAACACTTACCCTTTATGTATAGTTTGCGCTTCTGAAGGTTACAACTCTTCAATATTTATTTTGTCATTTTGACACCAGCAATGTGACCCCTGTTATATGTTTTGAAATTCTTTTGTATTGTTTGGTTTTATTTTTGATTCATACAATTCTGGATTGGAGTTCAAACTAAAATTAAAATGCTTGAAGTCAATCAAAAAATAATCTTTGAATTCTCAAGTCTGATGGTTAATGTTATATCTCTCAATTTGCGACTCGAGTATATTGATATCCTCAGAAAGCATTGACTAAGTTGTGCATTTATTATTTTAATAACTTATAAAGACACTGTGACATATTGTTTCTTTATTGATTATGTTAAAAAAGAATCAGTTTATTCTCTTGATTGAGATTAGAAATTTAGTTTAATATTCATAAAAGGTTTTTCTGTTATTAGAGAATTGTATTGGTAACAAATCAAAAAAGTTTGTTGAATGAAACACAAATTTTAATTGAATTGGAAAATATTACAAGATCAAAAGTTCTAATCTGTTTTGAAGATTGCATGAGAAGTGTATGTTTAATTTGGGTAGTTGTTTTATTCAATTTCATTTTTTTTTATTTGTCTAATACAACCTTATTTTTAGATTTCATTTTCCCATTGTTCACTGTTCCCCCACACCTGAAAAACTTTTATTGTGATACAAAGCATCTCGCTATGTGAACACTTACCCTTTATGTATATATTGCGCTTCTGGAAGTTACAACTTTTCAATATTTATTTTGTCATTCGACACCATCAAGGTGACCCCAATTATATGTTTTGAAATTCTTTTGTATTGTTTGGTTTCATTTATAATTCATACAATTCTGGATTGGAATTGGAATTAAAATATTTGAAGTCAATCCAAAAAATAATATTTGGATTCACAAGTCTGATGGTTAATGTTATATCTCTCAATTTGCCACTTGAGTATATTGATATCTTCAGAAAGCATTGACTAAGTTGTGCATCTATTATTTTCATTACTTATAAAGACCATGTGACATATTGTTTCTTTATTGATTATGTTAACAAAGAATCAGTTTATTCTCTTGATTGAGATTAGAAATTTAGTTTATTACTCATAGAAGGTATTTCTGTTATTAAGTAATGTATTGGTAAATTAAATAATTAAAAAATTTGTAAGATGAAATGAAACACAAAGTTGATTTACATTGAAAAGATTACAAACCATAAAGTTATGTTATACTTCCATTCTAAATCTGTTTCAAGATTGCATAAAAAGTGTATGTATAATTGGGGTAGTTGTTTTATTCAATTTCATTTTTTTTATTTGTCTTATTCAACCCTATTTTTAGATTTAATTTTTTCATTGCTCACTGTTCCTCCAACGACCAGAAACTTTTATTGTGATACAAAGCATCTCGCTATGTGAACATTTATGTATACTGTATAATTTGTGTCCTTGAGAGGCTACAGCCTTCAATATTTTATTTTTTTATTTTTACACCAGCACGGTAACCCTTGTTGAATGTTTTGAGATCTTTGTGTGTTGCTTGTTTTTATTTATGATTCATACAGTTCCGGTTTGGATTTTGAACTAAAACTGAAAATGTTGGAAAAATAATCCAAGAAATAATCTTTGAAATCAGGAGTCTGATGGTCAATGGTATATCTCTCACTCTGTGACTTGAGTATATTGATATTTTCAGGAATCATTGACTAAGTTGAGTTTCTATTACTTTCACAACATATAAATAGGCCTACACTATGACATATTGTTTCCCTATTTATTATGTTAACAAAGGACTCTCTTGTTAGGGGTTAGAAATATAGCCTATTATTATTAAAAGGTATTTCTGTTATTGGAGAACTGTATTGGCGGTATTGGATAAAATTCCTAAAAATTTGTTAGATGAAACACAAATTTTATTTACATCAAAAAATATTATATACCGTAAAGGTATGTTATACTTCCATTTCGAATCTGCTTTAAAAATTGCATTAGAGGTGTATAATTGGGGAGGCTGTTTTCTTCAGTTTTATTGTTTTTTTCGTTTGTCTCACTCAACCCTTATTTTTAGATTTCATTTTCCCATTGTTCACTGTTCCCCCACACCTAGAAACTTTTATTGTGATACGAAGCATCTCGCTATGACGCTATGTGAACATTTATCCTTTAGGTATAATGTATAATTTGTTCCCTTGAGAGGTTACAGCCTTCAATATTTTATTTTTCCAGCACGGTAACCCTTATTGAATGTTTTGGAATTTTTGTGTATTTCTTGTTTTTATTTATGATTCATACAGTTCTGGTTTGGATTTTGGACTAAAACTAAAAATGTTGGAAATTAATCCAAGAAATAATCTTTGAAATCAGGAATCTGATGGTCAATGGTATAAATCTCACTCTGTGACTTGAGTAAATTGATATCTTCAGAAAGCATTCACTAAGTTCAGCATTTAGTATTTTAATAACTTATAAAGACACTCTGACATATTGCTTCCTTATTGATTATATTGACAAAGAATCAGTGTATTTTTTTGATTGAGATTAGAAATTTGGTTTATTATTCATAGAAGGTATTTCTGTTATTGAAATAATGTATTGGTATATTAAATAAATAAAAAATTTGTAATATGAAACAGAAAGTTTAATTACATTGAAAATATTACAAAAGATATGTTTTACTTCCATTCCGAATTTGTTAGAATTAGTGTATAATTGGGGTAGTTGTTTTATTTAATTTCAGTGTTTCTCTAGTTTGGCCCACTCAACCCTATTTTTAGATTTCATTTTTCCATTGTTCCCTATTCCCCCCACACCTAGAAAACTTTCATTGTGATACAGAGCATCTCGCTATGTGAACACTTACCCTTTATGTAAAATTTGCGCTTCTGAAGGTTACAACTCTTCAATATTTATTTTGTCATTTTGACACCAGCAAGGTGACCCTTATCATATGTTTTGAGATTTTTTTGTATTGTTTGTTTTCATATATTATTCAGACAGTTCTGCTTTGAAATATGATCTAAACCAAAATATTCAAAGTCGATCCAAAAAATATTTTTGTAATCACAAATCTGATAATGTATATTTTGACTTTCCAATAATGGTATTAATAAAATTGGATACTGTCATTTTCTGTGTACAATATGATAACTCTATATTAGTTTGGTATACTGCACATTCCCCATATGCTCAAACTATGAGTGAGAGAATGCTTATTTCAAATGCACTTCTATCATTATAAAAGTAACATATATGGCTATATCATGTTAATAGTTTCCTCATCATAGCAGCCAGTACGATTACTAGAGCTGGTTTGGGAGAGCAATTCTCAACATGAAACATCAAAAGAATTTATTAATAGATTGAATGCTAAATCGATAAAAAATCATAGAAATTGCTGTGAAAGGAATGTAAATGATGCGATTTCTGAAAGAATTTTGCCGCCAAGCTATCGCACTCGTTACAAGTTCTATGAGTTTACTGATCTTGTACGCTTTATACGTAATACATGTGTTCACAACAGAAATAACATTTTTGAATCCATGTCACAACTTTATTGGTATTTTGAATCACATTTCCCTCATTTTTTCATTTATTCGTATGATGAATTCAAGGTTTTTGTCAGAGATCCAATAGACCCAATGATCAAATATTATTTTCAAAATTTTTTTGATTTGTCATAAAGTTTATTGTATACATTGATTGTTGTTTATGATAGTTGTCTTTGACCAATTTATATTTTTGATCAATTAAGCATTCACGGACTAACTACAACTGGAATAATTTTTGAAATGTTAGTCCACATGATATGGGTTGAAGATTTATATTGTATTTACGTCCTGATCATAATTGATATAAGTTTTTAGGAACCCTTTTGGACAAAATTTGCGTTTATAGCACGTTTTATACTTTTTTTGAAATATTGCAAAAAATTTTTGATTATTTTTTCATTGTTATATACTGTATTTTGAATTTTTATTACAACGTGCTATCATATTGATATAGTTTGAATACTAATTGTAGCATGATTCATAGTCATAAATGAAACTACTTATGCACGTTGTGTACCTACTTAATTGAGACACTCAAATTCTTTATAATCACTTTTTATTATTTCACAGTTCTATATCTATAAGCAAATAGTTTTAGTTAATTTATGCTACCAAATTGACGATTTCTTGAAGAACAAGAACAAAATAAAGTGAGTACTGTTTTATTGGGAAGGTGTCTAAATTTGCCTGAAACTCACTTGTCACTTGAAAAATAATAGATTTTTACCTGACCAGCGATGACATGAACTACCCTACGACAGTGAGAAGTTTAGCAATTCTCTCACAAACAATCATTCGCTATTGGATTTGAACCTGCAAACCCACACAGAATAATCAGAAGCGTGATGGCAAGCAAATTCCTAATACTTAGCATGATGCATCTTCCACTATGCTTTTTCTTCTCTTAGAATATTTTTATTTTTTACATATCCATTTAAATAATGAAGCATATTATTGAGTGCAACCAACTCTGACTCAAATAGATAGAACATAACAATAGAATTACTTGAAATCAGACTTGAGAGATGAGGTCTAGCATTTACTATACAAGCATGCTCTAGTTCTTACCATTTCTTTTCAATCTTTTATTTTAGATATGGATGTTCAAATACAATCAATTGAACCTGATTATGGAGGAATTAAAGTCGTTTGGAAAAAAAATGCAAAAATCGAGCCAATATATAAAATCCGGGCATATTCTGGAGTCGATCTAGTTGGAGAGTACAAGGTTCATGGTTGTCAGTTTCTGTATCACCCCGAGGACCCTTTAAAAAAATACTTCTTCAAAATTTGGCCCGACAGTGAAACAGTGGACAGTGAAAATCTTGAAAGAAACTCCACAAAGGAATGCAGCTTATGTAAGTACTGAAAATCTATACTGATATTGTAAATTATTTCACAATATTATGGGAATAGCAGTATAATAATTCCACCATATTGTCTGCTTCATGACAAATGATGAAGACAGCAACTGAGGGAAAAATTCAGTGCAAATTACATGTAGATTGGTACCTTGGTAATCGAACATCTCGCTACTCAAACAATTCAGTAGTTGACCAAAAAAATCTAGTAAAAAATGCTGCAAAATTAAACACTCGAGCACGCTGTAGAGTAAGATGACCCCACACAAACTATGCATCTCAGCTGCCTTTCGACCATTCAACAAGAGAGCCATGATCAAATATAGAAATGAAGGTCAAAACAATGTAGTTTGGATATGCAATCTTTTCCTGTGGACTACCGGTACGGTAATCTTCGTGACTAATGCAAAAGCAGAACCAACGCAGGGTGTGAAATTTTGAGGACGTCTTTGCACACAAACAAGGAATCCCACAGATTCCATGAAAATTTGCTCAAATATACAGTAACTCAAGGCTTCCCAACCTTTTTTTACTGTGGACCCCCAAATTTCTATTCAAAGTCGTATGGACCCCCAAGTGTTTATTGTAGATATGCAAGCTTAATCAATTGCTGTCTTTATAAAACTATTTAATTTTGGTGCCAGGATGGTATACCTGTAGCCCTTGCTTGTCAATTTTGAGTTTTTCATTTGGTTCGGTTACTAAGTTTAATCACCTTGTAATTTTAAATATTCTATGATCCAAATTATCTAATTAGTGTAGCTATGATAGGTATATCCAATAATTTTATTCATTCCATTTTTAATCCAGAACACTTCGCATAAATTGGGGCGGTTTGGTCACCCAGATGCCCGCTGGTTTTCTAGTATACCTAAAACAAAAAGTTTTTTTAAAATAAATTTTAGTTTTTAATTTTCAAGCAGATTTTTTTGGTATAAAGAGTAAAGTTTCAATGTGAACCCTGTTGCTGCTTGTTATTTACAAGCATTGGGGTCCAATTTAACATGCTCTTTCATTTATTTCACTTTATCCAACAACATGAGAAAAGCAACAACTTATATGAAATATATTCATTTAATATAATCAGCACTCTATCTGAGGACTGGCTATGGACCCTTGGGGAGAGGCCTTGGACCTTGTTATGAAGCCATGTCTTATAACACCAGGAAATGAATAATTGCTTATTTAATCTCTTATCAAACCACCCTTTGACTAGTCATTTTTGGTTGCTGCCGCACGACCCACGTAGCCTCGCCCACTTCCGGGTTAGCTTTACCAACAGCCGCCCAATATGCAACAGCAGCAACAATATAATTATAGATCGGTCAGTCTATGGCGAGTGTACATGGGGGGGAACATGAACTGGGATTCACACAAGAGGTCGTGGTTCACCATATGATTAAGCTGTATTATCGACTTTCCTCGCTCCAAGGATAAATATGTAAATCCTATCCTATCACACAAACATTATTCTTGCCTAATAATATGTGGTACAGCAACAGATTCGCTGTTAAAAGTTGGTCATACAAGATATCTTTTATTAATCTAAAACAAAATTTTTTAATATACTATAGAAACTTTTTTTTTTGCACCCCCAAATTTTTTAAAATCGAAAATTCTTGATCTCACAGCAAGAAAAGTACAAGTCAGTGTATTGTATTTAATTATATTTATAAGAACAATGCGCTTTTATATCTCCTGTCAGTTTTGGGATTCTTGATGTAGTTTCGTAGGCAAAATCGCATGTCAAATTTTTTTATTACTAGAAGTAAATTTTCTCGGATTGTATGTGCTTTCTTTTGTTTTGCTAAACAGTAACATGCAATTAAAGAAAGCATAGACCACATAATTATCGGCAAAAGTAAATACTTTCATGACCTCCGCTTGTACTAACAGCATTTCCAATTACCGTTAAAAAAATTTCATCATTTCATCGACGCAACCCTGATGTCTTGACTTGAAGTGACGTAGCAGTTTTTTTCAATGATTCTCAATGACAGCTCAGCAAGGAATATTCCAAGGAGGGTTCTGAAAGTTTTAATTTTCAAGTTAGACCGTAACAGCTAGCGGGTCTGACCAGGGGCCGGAAAACGTTGGTTTTCAAGAATCTTGGGGGTCTAATAAGTATTTCTAGCTATGAAAAATTGCTATGTATGATACAGGAAGATGCACTTTTTTCATTTTGAAAGGTAGGGGTTCTGTCCCCCATAACCACGCAAGGTCATGAAATTAACTCAAAATTTCATCTTGGCTGAAGTGACTTATTATTTCCTATTCTTAATCTAGGTTATCATGTTGGAAATGATGTTTATGTGGACTACACCAGAAAACTTAATCCACACTACGATATATTTGGGGGCTTCGAATGTGAATCCACTATTCGTAGAGACGTTGCTGTCAAAATTTTTGATATACGTGAGCCAGATAAACAGAGCCAAAAAGATCTGAAACTTGAAATGGGAAATTTACGTGATGTAGACCACGAGAATATCATTTCGTACGTCAGGTCAAATAATTCAACTGACTTTTCTCAGGCATTTATTGCTGTCCAAATGTGCAGCTCAGTCACTTTGTTTGAAGTAGTTAGGGATCATCAAAACATGCCTTTGAAAACTGTGAAACAAATCTTCCTTCACATCACGAATGGATTGAAATACTTGCATGAGAAAGGTATAATGCACAGAAATTTAAACCCATCTACAATTTGGCTTTCTGGCGACAGAGATTTTATGCAAATTTCAGAATTTGGCTTCAGCAAAAGGATTTCATTAGGTACAAAGAGTACAACAGATAAATCATGTGTTTTTGAGAATACAGGGTGGGATGCCCCAGAAATGGGAGACAAAGCTAAAGAAAGTAGTAAATTAGATATATTTTCCCTCGGAAATATTTTTTACTATACACTAACAAGAGGAAAGCATCCCTTTGGTAGTACTTTTAAACGTGTTGATAACATACGTAATGGAGAGTTCAATTTGGACGACCTCGATCCAATCACTGACTATATGATATTGAGTGATTTGTTAAGTAAAATGATTGATTTCGATCAAAATAAGCGGCCTTCAGCCAAAAAAATTCTAAAGCATCCTTTCTTTTGGGAAGATGATAAAAAGATCGAACTGTGCTTTGATGCTCTAAAACTCAAGGATGACTTGCAAAAAATTAATGGCTATGAAAAGTTTTTTGAAAACTGGGTCAAGGGGGTCAAAAAGAAGATTTCAGCAGAAAGTGATCTTTTTTTAAAATTGTGTGAAGGGCAGTATGAAAATTCAATATTTGGATATATTGATTTTTTACACAAAATATTTGAAGACAGGTCTAAAGATGGAATATTTTGCAGCATTGAAGGCATATGGGGATTTTTTTCTCGTCAATATCCTGATCTTATAAGAATAGTTTTTGAGTTGATGAGAGGTAGGTTTGAAAAGTTGAATAACAGTTGATGGTGCTGAACATTTGTGGCTTGTGATACAAATTTCTCAAAAATCGTTGTTGCCCCACTTTTCAAATTCAACAATATTACTGATATATGTGCTTGTATGGTATAGAAATATAGGTTTTATTGAAGTACAGTCAATTTAAACAGAATTCTATGTCCAATTAATGCCATGTGAGACACAATACTCCCCATGATTACGTCATGAATTTTAAATCTTCTCGGTAAATAATTGGAATAATATTCTAATGACACCTTCAAGTGGTCAATACTGTAAAAATATGTCAAACTTTTCGTCCCTGATTAGAGATTGTCTTTATCAACTTATCTTGTAGTTTGTGGTCACAATAAAAAAATTGTATTTGGTGATGAGATTTGTTCTATTATTTATCTTGATAGTAAATCCCCATGTAGAATAAAATAGTCTCGAATGTAGCAGTATTTAAATGTGAACATATGCAATGGCAGGATGAATTTACCAAAGCAATTTTCAAGTTTCGACTTTATATTTTGGTGATTTGTTTTGTAGACTATTCAATTTTATTTTTCATTTTTCTCGATACATAGACAAACTAAATCAAGTCCCAGATGCTCGTATCTATCCACTTTCTGATATAGATCTTCCGTCGGTAGAGAAAAGTAAGCTATTTACTTTTTTTTTTTATCTATGTCTTGTTAAATATTGAATGTTTGGTGATTTGAATATAATTCCACTGTTATTATTATTCATGAGTGTCATCTTGACATTAGACCACAACTTTAAAAATATGCTGGAACTGGTACTCAAAACTTTAAAGGGTAAAAATTAGCTTCAATTGAGGACTTATAGACAACTATAATAACATTTATTTGAAACTGTATAAACAGTTTGTTCATCATAACTTTCTGATGTCAAAGTGAAAATCTATGAAATTTTATTATACAAAATTAGGAAATAAATGGAACTGTCGAACATTGCAAAGTGTAACTTTAAAAAAATTTAAATAATTTGGCATTGAGTCAAAAATGTATAGACATTCTATTTTTTGAATTGAAATGCTCAAAGTGACTTTAAAGCTAGTGCAATTCATTATGTATAACATCAAATTAGTTTGCATACCGGTAAATTATTCGCATACATATTTTTTTAATTCCACACACTATATTTCCTTTTATATTTCACTGTGACTGAATGTAGATATTTCCTTTTTATTATTAATAAACTTTCAGTGATCTACGAAGAAACTGATAGTATTGAATTGAAGAACACAACAATGAATTTTGGCTATGATTCTTTTTATTCCGAAGCACTTGTTCATGTGTCAGAGCATATCCCAGACCCAGATGAGAATGTGTTCCCCATTGGTCCTATGTTAAATTGCTCAATGGAACAAAATTTGAGAGAAGAAGTTCAAATAACAATGAAAACCGTCTGTCAGAACACAGAAAATGGTGCTGTTAAGTTGTTTCACGTTGTTGGTGGGCAGCCAATAAAAAAATCAAATTTATTACCAAAGAAAAATTGTGTTTCATGCTCATTGAAAAAATTTGAACAGTTGTATCTTGGTATCGAAAAAAGTGCTATACAACACGTTCATTTTAAAGTGGTTGCAGCATTATACTATAACAATTTTTGTGAAATGATTCTTAATTTTCATATTCAAAACGATTGTCGATATCATTCAGTAATGCATGCTGGTTTTAGATGTGCTGTTGAATTTAATGCATTTTCAGTCAAAATAGGTCAAAATTTGAGATTGCAACTTTTTTGTGACAGCCATTCAAATTTGAACGAGCAATTTGTTGAGTTTGAATTAGATGAAAGTCATCTTGACCGTTCAGCTCATTCAAAAAAAGTTGAATTAAAATATTTTCAGAGTGATTTGCCCACTGGCCCAGTTGTTGCAGAAATTCTCGTTGACGATAAAAAAGTTGAATCTCAGAATTTCAATATCAGCAGTTTTCCACTTTCTGAGATTTTCTTGTTTCAGTGAATGAAACATATGTAATTTGATTGATTTACAGTTGGAATTTGTTAATAATAATGTTTTATCATAAATACTCCAACACAACTTCATCTATATTTTTTAAAGTAATTTCATAATTCTAATTCTTTAATTTATTTTCAAATGTAGCTCAGTTATTTTCGTGATAAAAAATAGAATGATTAGGCCCATTGCATAATAAATAACTCTCAAGAATTTTTAGTTTTGTTTAAGTAGATTACACCAAGAATATTTATAGGCATTTGTTTGTAGATTGAGTGGTAGTTATAGGGCGCTCCGGATGTATTTGTACCAAGATGACACACAACCTGAACAACCCTAACCTAGTACACATACTATGTTCAGGTTGTGCGCCATCTTGGTACGATTACTTCGGGAGCACCAGTTATATGATGCAGTGAACTATTTAACACCAAGGCTTTCAAAAAGCTTTGAAATTTTTTCTGTTATTGAAGTTTGCTTGGACATAGCTTGCCAGCACTCATTTATTAGTATCAAGAAACATTAGTATGGAAACTCTTAAATAAACAACAGATATATATTTATTGTTTTTGCTACTTGCTAGCTTCAAATGTAAAATCAGACTAATTTTGTTTTTTAAAGGTTATTCCGCAGAATGTATATGCAGAAATTATGATATATATAGGGTGTCCATAAATTCTTGATTCTTTTTTAAATTGCAATCAATTTTATCCTCACCACATATTGTTTTGGCCCTCACAGTCACAGATGTCTTAAATGTAGCGAAAATACTTGAACAGTTAATGATTGAAAACAAAAAAAATTGGCTGAGATATATTGCGCACTTTCGGGAACTACACCCTTCCGGCCCGGAAACATCCTTCCGATTCTAATTTTGGCCTGTGGCCAATAAAGTTTGGGAACCCCTGTTCTAGATAGTATCTCGTTCTAGAGTAAAACAAAAATTGTGTATGAATGTATCATTTTTATCAATATTGGCCTTGTCCTATTTTCCAAATATGAATTGATCTCTAATGTGTGTGTTTCCATTTAGATTTCAATAGCTTATAAATATTTTAAATTTGCCTTCAATTCAATTCTATTTAATTCTGATCATCAAATTGTAACATGGAATCAGCCGAAAGCAAGAAAGGTGAGGATCTTTGAGTTGAATTTTTTGAGATGTATGAAGGTGAACAAAGCTATAAGCAAGCAGACCTGATGTTTACTTGGCTACTCTATATTTCCATTGCCTCATACAACCTCCATTGCCTCATTTATTTTCACAAAATCATCTGTTACAGAATTTTAACCAGCACAGGGTAATGGGAGGTGCGGTGGGCACTGGTTGATTACGACTTTTTCCGCCATTCAGTCCATGCATCTGAAACAAATAATTGGCGAACTATTTCCATACCCAACATGGACTGGGTTATGCTATATATTGTGGTTGTGGTCAATATACTTTAATCTGAATTATGTCACATCAATCAATCAATCAATCAATTTTATGGAATGGAATTTTATGGAATGTCAACATAGTTTAGGACAATGCGGCTATAAATTTTGATTGTTAAATGTCAAATTTTGTATTTATGACATTAATTTAATAATTTCAGGTGAGCTGCATTTTGATGGTTGTCAAATTGAATATGAAGATGGCAAGTCTGATTTTGCATCTTACAGGATACTAGAGGAAGCCCCAGGACTTCCAGATAACTATTTTGCTGTCACCCCATGCTTGCAATTTGGCAAATTAAACAACAAAACAATGTCAATAAAAGTAATGACACTAAAAACTCTATGCATAGCCAGAAATAATAAAGTATGCACAGTACTGTTAAAAAAAAGTGCCAATGGAAAATGGCAAGAACAAAAAGATATACCGGTAGTAAATCTGCCCAATAGGCCAAATGGAAACATTATCCTAAGTCCTCCGACTCCTCTCCAAGTTGGAAGCCGAAAATCTTTCGTGTTTGTCATCCCTGAAGATCATTTAGACAAAGTTAAATTTGGAATATCGGGTATGCTCTATGCAAAAGGAAGCCTTACAGATGGTAATTTTGTTGCAAAATTTTATTTGCGACATACTGAGTATACCCATTGCCAGAAAGATGTTGATCAGACAGAAGATACACCCATACTCCACATTGGCCCACTATACCTTAAACGGAAGAGCAGAGTTGAAGTCACTCTCGGCAGTGAAGGTAATTCAATTAGAATATCACCTATTTTCTCATATTTATTACGGAAAAAGAAAATTGATAGCTGGATATGATATAATCAAATGGCAAAGCAATGCCAATATGTAATATCCAACATTCTAGAAGCTAGATCAGTGGTCGGCAAACTTTATGTATTTGCGGGCCAAAGATACAAATTTCTCGTAGTGTGCGGGTCGCATTAATATTCGCCTAAAAACATTCGCCACGTTACACTTTAAATTATGGTGCACTCTCATATCTTTCCTCATAGGAAAAGCTTTTATATATATAAAGAGAGCAAACGTGATAAAACAGCTTAACCATATAGCAAACCACGGACTCTTGTCTGATAACCAGTTCAAGTCTGATATGGTGATAGTAAATCAGATATTTTTTTGAATCACAAAACCGATGATGAAGAAAGCTGTTATGCGATGGTAATAAATCTGGCAATTTATTTTCACAAAATCATCTGTTACAGAATTTTAACCAGCACAGGGTAATGGGAGGTGCGGTGGGCACTGGTCGATTACGACTTTTTCCGCCATTCAGTCCATGCATCTGAAACAAATAATTGGCGAACTATTTCCATACCCAACATGGACTGGTAACCGAATGATAGGACATGCTTCATCAATGAGCCCTGTTGTCCTACACTAACATTGAGTCTGCAGTACTATCATATAATGTTCTTGACTATATGTATTTTATTACCAGCTCTAAATTATGCCAAACTTTTTTAGACACAAATGAAAGTCAAAGGAATCCACACACGAAAAAATCAAAAGTGACTCATGAAAGTAAAGGTACTTATTATACCCTTTTGTATTCTTCTTGTGAATTATCATGGCGACTATTAACATCTGGTCTAGAATTTTTTTTTTCGAATCAAATCCTGAATCAAAAATTTTTGAATTGAATCCGAATACGTTTAGCCCACGGGTTCTCAACCAGTGGGTCATGGCCCACTGCTGGGCCACAGAAACATTTTCAGGTGGGCCACAAATTTATCAAAAATTGCTAGACTCACTGATAAATTAGTCAAAATTGATTGTATTAGAAGTGAATGATAATGCTGTTTTTTGCTACCAAATTGGTAATTTTTATTTTAATCATTAAAGTGGAAGTGGAGGTGAAAGTGCCTCTCTTTGCGAAAAGAATTTTTTGTTTTTCTTGTAGTTTTTCCCTTCAGGAGAAAGTTAATGGGCCACAGAATGTTTTGTGCAACAAAAGTGGGCCACGAGATAAAAAAAAGTTGAGAAACACTGGTTTAGCCATTTTTAATTTTTTTGTTATTGCATGCGTTGGTTTGCCCAAAGTTACAAAAAAACAAGCCCAAATCTAGAGGAGAAAAACTTGACAATGAAATATTGACACACAAGAATTCCATGATATATGTAAATGAATCAGTTATCCTTTTCATAACTAAATCTTATTCTGGTGAGTTTCGATGAAATTTCACATCCTACCAGTTGAGTGTGTATGTTGCGGGTTTATATTTATATATATTATTAAATATATCATTCACCAATTTAATTAGGATTTGATAGTAATGGGAGATTAGTTTCTAATTTTCTTTGTTTTATTCAGCCACTGTTGATGTCAGCCAAATATTTGAAAATGGATACATGATAAGTAATTTTGCACTGAAGGAACGATCTTCTCGCATCTGTCTATATATCCATGAAAGTGCTGAAAATATTCATTTATTGCGGCAGGTCAACTTTAACACACCTGCCATTACAGGTTTGTAATCTAATTTCGAATTATGAAAAAACAATGGATCTTTTGTATAAAAAACCCGCCAAACAACACTCCCGTCAACGCCCTCAAAAAAAAAATTAGTAATTATCTAATGTTTGAATCATTCCTATACCCAACTGGATGGGTACTAATTTGATATTTAAAAAGGTTTTTTGCAAATTTCACATTTTTACATTAGTGGCAGGGGCTTCATACAAAAGATCCAGAACAATTACATTCCCATCAAAGCTATCTGTTTATTAAGAAGGGTTTTATAGATAGATTATTAAATGGGTAGATTATAGAACAGGGATTCTCGCCTACAATGCCGTTGAGAATACAAAATCCCACAGGCTTAAAATGAAAACCTAGGAATCTGGAATAACAATGGGGCAATGTAAAAGTGCTTTTAATATGGTTAAAGCTGATAGAAAAATATAACACTATCAGAGTGGAATTTCTTACAAACTTTTTGGAACCGTAAAATGATTTGCCGCATCATCCTAAACATAATTCATATGCATGTTTTCGTACTTTAATTTCATAAAACCAAGTGCCATAAAAAGTCCCTGATAGAAGTGCTGTATAAGTGAAACCCTAAACTACACCAACACAAACAGAACCATCGTATCATGATTTGTTTCTGAAGTTTCTTTAAGATACAAACATTGATTAAATATCTGTGACCCACTCTCTTCTGTTCCGCGATAAAAATATATTTTTTGAACCATTCATTGAAAAAGGTTTGCCATCCCTGCTATAGAAGGCATTAAAGGTACCTGTTAATATTGGTTAACAATGCAACCCAATGTACACACTTTTAGAGGGACATTCTGGATAGAACCACTTTCTGGAACCACAGGGATTCACTTAGTGGTTGAAGGATTACATATCTCAGGCTCATTGCAGATTACACATCTCAGGTTCAAAATTTATGCCATCACATCACCCAAGCTGTAATGAATTAGTTAGGCCAAGGATGTGCAACTTTTTATACAATAGGGCCAGATAGAAATAACTGGGTGAAATCACGGTTCGCACCTTCATTCAACATAGACTTTGTAGTAGTTGCTAATACAAAAATTTTGATTATTGATCTTGTGACATGCGTTGTTCGCATATGCTGGCTGTTAAGGTATTGTCAAATTATAGGCCTAGATAATAATTGGACTCAGATATAGGCTTCGCAGCACAAAGGGATTTCGAACCCGCAGGTTGCACACCCCTGGGTTAGGCAATGCAGAATCGAAAAGATTCCTGCTTTAACAAAAAGCAGTAGCATTTCACATATTTTTCGATATCAGTGGCCGCATGTACAGGGCCTTTTCAAATCAAAAGTCATGAATAAAGGTTGTATAAAAGAAACTAGGACTTGAACTGCTCAACACTACAAATATTGAAATAATCGTTTCAATTTCTGGTACATGTGTGGTCTTGAAACTGGTATTTCTTAGTGGATATTTTGACTTCAAACTTATAATTTTGTATCTCACAGAAAAAAAATCGAATGGTTAGTTATGTTCTATTAGACCAGGGGTCACCAAACTACGGCCCGCGAGCCGGATCCGGCCGGTGGCGTCCGTTCATCCGGCTCGCGATGACACAAAAAAATGACTAATTTTTTTCTAAGGAGTCAGTCCGCGAGATGAGGCCGTTTATATTTCAGTTTTGTAGCGCCCAATGAGAACTACCGGTACTTGGAAATAATTTTAAAATGTTCCTCAGAAATTAAGTAACAAATAATACCTTGTTCCCATTCCGAAAAGTTGCACGTTCTACGAAAAAGACGCTTTTACTGCAAGAAATATGTGCTACCCTCTGTCCAAATTCTCTGCCAATCCGGCAACATTGGCCAATGAACGCAGACTTCTGCATGACGTAACAACTACCATTTCATCAGCTATAGGCGGGCGGATGAAAATAAGTTTGTACTTCTCGCTCTTGCGTTGAGTTAGGTAGCCTTTCCATCGTCTTTTTTTAAGTTATGCTAAGACGGTGTTAATTAAAGGTATAAGTAAGGTATAAGATATGTAGATCGTTACCATAGATAGCAATTTTAGTTGAGCACTAGCTCAGGGCTATTCAACTGGCGGACCGCGGTCCGAATCCGGACCTTTCGGGTATTTGATTCGGACCGCGTCTAATTCTTTATTTTGGATCATTAGCCCCACTTTTGAAGTTTCCTTTTATAAAATCACTTTTATAGATTTAAATATATATGAAAAGAACTATAACGCCTTAATAAACAATCTTGATTAGCTAATAGTCATTATTCGGCATGGAAGACTAAACCTAATCGGTATTCTTGTGCTAAAATGAACGTTGAACGCATTTTACAAGTCACACTAACTTTTGTACTGCTTACATGCAATTGTTTTGCTATAAGCTAACCTCAGGACACCTGTCTAGAAATCTTGTATATATCTTGTTTTGCTATGATGTTCTTGATCTATATTCCGGGATATAGAATTGAATATTTGAGACTTCAGAAATATAGAATTCATATTGTTGAATAAATTGAATGGATTTTCCAACTTTTGGGAATTTATTGTATTGCATTGACAAAAATATTTGTCCGGCCCGTTTCAACACAGTTTGAGTCATACCTGGCCCGCGGTCAAAAAAGTTTAGTGACCCCTGTATTAGACTGTTGTAGAAATGGTGCTAATGCCTCGTGTCTTATTTTTTACTCAAGCGTAAAAAATCTTTCATTGTACAATTCTTATTCATGCCTTCTGATTTGAACAAACCCTCTAAAAGCAGCCACTATTATTATATGAAAATACTGCAATCTTTCTGGCTCGATTTATTACATACTTGATGAGAAAAAGAGCATGGTAAGGGGGAGGAATTGGTTCCATACAGCAAATCTCAATTTAAATTGAAAAATATTTTTTGCACTCTGAAAACTGAGTGAGGTGTGGGTTTACCACACTATATCTAGCGACTTTTTATTTACAATTTTTGTGGCATGCTTAGGGAAACATGATCATTATAAATATTCTAAACCTTTTGCAACTTTTTTTAGATAATTCCATGGTCAAAAAAAGGCCACAAAACGATGAACCCAGAGAAAAACAGCCTGAAATAGAAGTAGACGGTGTCAAATGTAAGTCAGTAAACTTGAATACCTCGTCGAATGTATTCAATTTTTTATTTATTGCAGCTGTTTGATATTCCAGAGATGTATTTCTCGTATTCTAGGCTTCTTTTTTAAATCAAGATTTAGTATTGTACTGCACACTTGGAAAAAAGGTTCCTGTCTTTCAGTTTTTTTTTTGAAATTTTATTTCTCCAGTCTTACACAAACAGGTTAAATAAAATATGTAAAATTTAAAAATTATAATTCCATATTGCAATGAACACTCCTATTTTATTTAGACAAACTGCTCCGTAGTAACGACTTATATGTTGAGCCTTCACTGATCGAAAAAGTAACAGCTATTACTAAGTCTCAGCAAACAATAAAAAAAGCGAATGAGTTATACGAAGGATACATGGACGATATGGTACGATGCAAAGTTCATGTGAAATTGGTTAAACCAGAGAAAACCAAGATCCAAATTGGCATGCCGGTTCATAAAAATGTTCTCAAGATTACTGCAGCAAATACTCTTCCAACTAACGACAATATAGGTTTCATTGCAATGGAGCACTTGGGAAAAGGATTCAAACTTCTTTCTAAATACATAACAAGTAACTCAGATGGGCCATCAATTTCAAATGACTCAAGTGGGTCAGTGATTTCAAATAAGCTAGATTTAAACGAACGAACGAAAATCATACTGCAGATTATACAGGCATTTTCCCATTTGGGATGGGGAAAGAACGGATATGTTGATGTACGGCTTTCTAAGATTTATTATGGGAAAGGCCAAGTTAAATTGCTTCCCCCCCAAGCTTCCAAAACAGTCGAAGAAACTGATATAGAAAAAAATCTGACTGAATTGAAAACAACTTGCGAACAAGTAATTCAAATTGCAAATCAACCCAATAGTAAACAAACAGGGTTTTGCCATCTTTTTGGAACTATAACAACTGATGCATCGCTACTGCCCTCTTGTGTCAGTGAACATTTTTTCTTCTTTAACACCAGTAAACAATGGCAATTCATACAAAACGCTTATAGACAGTTCCAGCCTTACAATGAATTTTTAAGCTGGAATTCCGAAATATGCATGCAGGTGTTGGGTACGAGTGATTGGACGAAAATGTTCAAAAAAGAAAAGGATGGGATTTTATATTACACTGCCAATAATACAAATGGCAATGTGGGTTCAGTTTATATCGGAAAATCCGGCAAATCTTTGTTGTGTTTTTATCGAAATGTTTTCACCCATCATGGAGACAAAAAAATATTTGATATTCCAGAATTGCGAGATAAAGATGTCTGTGATTGGTACGGAGAGTTAGGTGTAGACAATGATGATAAACTGTTATTGAGACTCTCAAACAAATTTCCAAATTTTCTTGGATATATCTACGATATATATCATAAGTAGCAGCATGTCTGATCGCCTTTTGTAGCTTTTATCTGATCATTGCTCTATGACCTTGCTTTAAAAAATTTTAGCCTACAAAGTTTCTTGCTTACATGAAATTGATTGATGTGATTGATTAATGTGATCACTTTTTCAAATTTTTTACTTCACACAGTTAGGTTCAGCATGAGAGATTGAAAAATAATGCAAGAATTCAAGCAAGCTTACCAATTTTCATAATAACTGAAATTAACCATTTGTTTATGTAGATTTTTAAGTAATGCTTCAAGATGACTTTGTAAATAAAATTAAGTCCAAATATTATAAAGTTCTGTTCTTTCTTTGGCTCTTTGAATACTATTGGATTGCCTGACTATTTGAGTTTATCTGAGTACAAATGTATTTTTCGTAAATGATATTAGAAAATACAATTATGTAGCTTAATTTTTTGAGTTTAAATGACTATTTATCATTTTTTTCATTTCAATAAATGCATATTTTGGTACTCCAGAAGTATTTGCACAAAGATGGCGGACAACGGAACGCAGTATGTGTACAAGTTTAAGGTTAGGCCATAACACCAGGTACAAATACTACGCGAGTCACTTGGCTAGTCCAAAACACGAAATAGAATTGAAATAAGGAAAATTGGAATAAAATTATGTCCTAACCCTAACCTGATACACATACTACGTTCCGGTGTCCGACATCTTGGTTCACATACTTCGGGAGTATCCATAACTTTGATTCAAGCATGGCACATCATGCCAGAATATTTAAACAAGTCTTTGTTATGCTTTCTTGTGCTTGTTTCTCATTTATCTACTGTAATAATTGTCAAGTATCTAGTTTTATTGAATTGTTCGTATTATTGGAAAAGAGGCAAATATTTCTTTATCTAAGCACCCAACTTATAATAGAACTCGCAATAGAACTAAGATAAGGTAAATGAGAATAAACTTATGGCCTAACTCTAACCTGGTACACACACTATGGCGGTACCTTTTTTTGTCACGAAGCACACTCATTTCACTTTGAGAATATGGGCAACTTTTGTTTTTTTTTGTACTTAGAGATTTGTAGTTTATCAGAAGAATTTTCTATTTTTTAGAAACATTTACGAATATTCAGATGACTAATGGAAAGTTATTTTCAATTCATAAAGAAACCATATTCCATGGTTGAGATTGAAGCGATTTTCAAAACGGGTTCCAGATAGGTTGTCTTGATAGTGGTTATTATATAGATTTTATGTGCAGTTGGCCAGAAAGGAGATTGTTGTATCCCTTCCCATACTATTCAATAATATGGTTATTCTCTAAAATGCAGGAACTTGTACTTCCTGTCTTTTATAATTTTCCAGTTTTGTGTTTTGGATTATTTTTAGCATTGCCTGTTTTACCACAAAGTAATATTGTATCATATTATACCATTTTTATGAATGCTGACGTGTTATTATGATGAACTTAAGCACTTGCTCAACATTTCACTCAAATACTTTCTTATTTCATATTAGGTCAGTGATATCCCTACAACCTCCAGAGGGGGTGAATACCCCTACAAAAATTTAAACATCCCTCTCGTGCATAATTTGAGGTGTGATACTACACTGTAATTCCTAACTGAAGTATATGTATTTAAAAATATAGAATATGGCATATTTATCAGTGTTGATCTCTGTCAAATTGCAAATACATAACACATTTTTGTAAATTACAAATAGTTTAATCGCTAATAGCAAAATCCCCCCCCCCCTCTCCTAAAATGAAAAGCTCTATTAGATACTGATATGCTTATTATCATAGTCATATTTAGCTCGTGAAGATAACACTGTACGGGAAATATCGTTTCATTTGAGTTTTATTGTATTTGCACAACAAAACTTGTATTAGAAATTTAGAATCTATTAAGCTGGGATTACATGAAGCAGATTGACCGTTTCTTTTAAACATTGTTTATTCTTTATTTTCCTTTTTTGTTTTTTACCCTTACGTGCTGAAGATTTCATTTTTTATTAGAATTATAAATTGTACACATATTTTAAATATTATTAAATTACCGATAACTGATCACTGATCATAAAAAATGTTTGTTTGGGGCTCCAGAAGCATGTGCACCAATATGGAGGTAACTAATTTTGTTCGCCTATTTTACATCAAGTTGTGTAAAGGAACGGTAGCCCATGGACAGGGAGTATATTCACTTGGCTAACACAGACAGTCCCCGAACCCGTAATAGAACTTAACTACGGAAAATCGGACCTGGTACACATACTACGGTATGTACCATTTGTTCTACATACAATTTCAAATGAAAAATATTGCCTGAAGATCTTATCTTTTGTATATAAAAATGATTTTATAAGTTTATGCATATTACTATTGATAACTGTAAGCAGAGCTTTAATTTAAAGCAACTTAGTTAATGCGAATGCAAGTTAAATAAACTTGTCCTTTTTACAATGTCCCCTGTTGAAGAAACCTACGGTAATTTGAAAAATATTCATTCAATATCAAATAATTATTTAATGGTATATATATGTTCCATATAACCAATTTATATAATTTTGTTCTGAAGAATATTTTTATTTCTATTCCTATGTAATGATTAGCATTTTTTATATGATTTTTACTCTGTTTGTTTGACTTAATGTAACTTTGTCTATTCTTTATATTTTGGTGTGCCATAGTTGCCATGAAAAAAATTATTTTTCTGAAAAAGTTCCCAGTTGTTGATCTACAGGCAATTTTTTTTTTTGCATCTGCCCTGGCTTGTACGCAAACAAGGGTCATTTATAGGAGCATCTTAGATATGGTCGTAACAATGCAAAAATTTTATGAACGGGCAAGAAAACGTGTTCATGCCCTTGTCAGTTTTTTTTACTTTATCTAACGGGGAATCTCCTGTTCGTCTGCGATATATGGATCTCGTATCTAATAATAATTATCTAATAAGATATTGTAGGTATATAATTCGACCATACAGTACTCACCACCAATAACAGTATTTTTATAATTAAATTACTCGATCTTTTTAACTAGATATTAGAACCTTTGGTGTCGCTACTCAATAACCAGATTTGGTTCCCCGAGGCTTTCCTTACACAGTAACATTGTACGATTTCCTCTTTTTTGGTTATTGTATGTGATTGTGTTATACTGGTTGTATAAAATGACATTGACTTGACACTATGAGGCAGTGTTGACAATGTCACACAACAAACACTTCCCAATAAAATTTCTTTGTTTTATAATGTTGACCCTAGAATTCCTTACATTATTATGTTTATGTGTTTTCAATTTTCTGCTGATAAATTGTGATAATTTTGAATATATGAATTAAATATGTTTTCTTGCACTTTAATTTTATGCATTTTCTATTAAGATTTTTCATCATGTTTTTACCTTTCAACACAGTCACAGCGAACAAGGCCTTGGTCAAGCATTTATTGATATGCAAAATATCCAGTCAAAAATTATCATGAAAATGAAGCCTTTTTATACCGGTGTAACATTTTCATTAACAATTTTTTGAATTTATATTGAAGTAATTTTGTCTGAATATTGTGTATCGATTTGCTTTTAGTCATTGTATTATCAATTTTTTATTCCTATAAATAGTACAGTTGTTTCATGTATGTACAAGTTCAAGACCCAACCATGCAAGAGTCATAACTTGATGAAGTAGTTTGACAATTTATTTTTTCTTTCTTTTTAATATGTATACTTTATATTTTTTATTTAGTTACTTCAATAAGTTTATGCGAGCAAGTCTTTATAGATAATAGAAAATTGTAGTAACAAATTGCAAACACCTTTTAAACATTCTGTCCCTGGATTCTTCATTTATCGGTTATGAATGATTGAATGTGCTCTACCCTATGAATTCGTTCTTTATTTCTTGGCACCAATTTTCTTAGTGGTTTTCTATAACGAAATTAAAAATACATTCGATTGCAAAAGAGTTTTCTGCATTTTTTTATTGAAGGGTTAAAAACTATCAGAATCATTTTGGGCACGAAGTTCGCATATAGCTAAGTTCTTTGTTGTTAATGTGATAGTTTTTGTTGGGAATATATCGCCTTCCCCCATTTAATTAATAAACTGATCAAATTTCCAGGATACACATTTATCCCGATGGAGAAGAAAGCCGATAAGACGGCTTAATTATAAGGCGAACCACAGCCTTCCGTACGGTTATTAGTCCAAGTCGTGTATGGTATTAGTGAGACAGTTATAAGTGTCAGATGCATGGACTCGATGGTGGAGGAAACTGTAGCCATAGAACATAGCCATAGATGGAGGATGTATCAACTGTTATTGTTACAAATTTCCTCCAGGTCTTATGGAATCAGCGATTTCTCCAAAATGATATTATTTGTTACAGAATTTGGTTTATTTTCGATTCAAGTATTGCTTGCACAACCTACCGGTGCCGCATTACACTAGAGAAGAAAGGTTTGAATCCGAGATCTTTATCCTGGAAAGTATAGAAAATATTTCCTATGAATATATTAGAGAGGTAAAACTTAGCGGTCGCTGGCGGGAAATCACAATTTTGTTTATTGGAATATGGGGCCCCGATCGGCGAAGTCGATAAATTCCTAAGCGCTCTATCTATTTAAAGTAGGGGTCTCAAACTCAATTTACTTGGGGGCCGCCTAGACGAAGCCTTGAAGTCGGGGCCGCATCCGGTTTTTCACAATAAAAGCATTAAACTTAAAAAGTTAAATCTTTTTCTCTGTTTTTCTATACGCAAAATATGTCAAAAACATAAATTTAAGTAATTCCGCGATGGATCTTTCCCCGAGCATCTACTTCCTTGTTTATTCCGTAACATGGGCTAATCCAGGGGCGTCAAACTCGGGGGTTTTCAATGGCCGCATTGCATTTTGGGAATTGTGCAAAGGGCCACAAACAGTTTTTGATATATTTTGATAATACTTAACTTAAATACTTATACTTAAAGCATATTTTTAGATAGGTGTAGTTTGTGATATATACTGTGATGCAATTAAATAGCCGAATAAAGTTTTGTTATTTTTTGAAATTTCAAATGACATTTACATATTAATTTCTTGGTATTTCACTATTATTGCAATTTACTGTATTTATTACAAAATTTTTTTTACAACTATCCAAAACATTTTTGAACATAGATTTGATAAGGAAAGAATAATACATCAACTAAAAATGACCTAATTTAAATATATACCCCTAAAATTTACAAAAATACTACCGAATAAACTCAATGTTTTTTTTTTATTACGTATGTCCTGGCGTTTGGCATCTCTTTTGTGCCACCAGCTTACTAATATGGGGCTGAATTGATTTTACAGTACCAACTCTAATTAACGAGGTCACATGATCATCGGTCATACTGGATCGTTGAGAATGTTTGATTAATTTCAGTATTGCAAAAATATTATATTCATCATTTCATGTATAAATCAGTAAATAAAAGTAATGACTGAGTTTTTAGACCAGGGGTCACCAAACTACGGCCCGCGGGCCGCATCCGGCCCGCGACGTCATTTTATCCGGCCCGCAATAACACGCAAAAATGGCTAAATTTTTTTCAAAGGGAGATTTTCCCCGAGCATCGTCTTCCTTGTTTATTTCGTAACATTGGCCGATCAGCACGTTGCAAAAAAAAAGTGACGTAATAATAGGCCTTTTCGCATCCGCTCAGACACTATTGTCATCTTGACAGATTTTCAGTCGTGGTTGTAAACAATATTTCGTTTTTGCGACTTTGAATGCTATTCGTTAGTTTTTAATTGTGTATCGGAAATTTAAGTATGAATCAAATAAGTCAATTATCATTTGCCTTTTATTAGTTTTAATAGTAGTAATGAAAAAGTAGTCTAAAAATGTAGCAGTGACAAAATAGGCTAAATTCTCTACCGGTACGCAACGTTTTCTGCGAAAGATGTACTTGTACACTCGTGGCGCGTGCTTTCTACGAAACAGTTCACATTTCTTGTGCTAAAATAAACGTCCAATGTGCATTTTGCGCTAACAGTACTGTAATTCCTCGCGTACTGCTCCAATTTAACGAGTCATACTAACTTTTGTTCTGTCTAAATGCGGATATTCATGTAGGTGTGTTTCCAAAATATTGAAGTTCATCCGATATAGTTGTCTAGATATAAAAATCTTGTATATTTGTTTTCCTGGGATGTTCTCGATCTATATTCTGCGATATGGATAGAATTTAATATTCAAGTCTTCAGAAATGTAGAATATATATTATTGTTGAATAAATTGAATGGATTTCCCAACTTTTGTAAATTTATTGTATTGACAAAAATATTCATCCGGCCCGTTTCAACACAGTTTGAGTCATACCCGGCCCGCGATCCAAAAAGTTTGGTGACCCCTGTTTTAGACCATACATTTCCCGCCACATTTTCTACCATTGGCACCACGTGACATATGACCGCTTGGGTTATGATTTATATATATTGATTTTTAGTAACTATGTAGTTGTATAATTATTATCATCTACAAATACATAAAAATATTCTATTTGAAGTTGACCTTTAAATTTGTCATATTGACTGCTGAGCTTATTCTGATAATGTCTACGTATATTGTATTCTTTTATTGTGTTGATAGAAATGTGCCAAATTAAACAATGTGCTTTAGAATTTTGAGAAATACAGAAATATTGCAACCTCCCTTTTTCTTCAAAAATGCCACCTTCTTCGTGTGCTTTGCGTTTCATTTAATTCCTGAAGAGTTTTTTTTTTCAATTATTTTTTTGCTAGCTTTGGTCATATTGAGAACAAAAAAAATATTTTTTGAAACTACTTTCTGTAAATTGTCCTTTTTTGTGTGAATAATCAATTTCACTTTGTAAGGCTTGAAAAATGCATTACATTTAGATGAAAAAAAAACTATTACAATTATTGTTAGGCGTTCAAGGGCCGCATTGGAAGTTCTCTAGGGCCGCATGCGGCCCGCATGTTCGACACCCCTGGGCTAATCAGCAAGACACAAAAAGTGACGTAACAATAGACTTTTTCGCAAACGCTCAGACACTTGTCACTCAGAAAGATTTTCAGGCATGTATGTAAACATTACCTCGTTTTTGCATGCTATTTTTTAGTTTTGGGTTGTGTTTCAGAAATTCAAGGATGAATCAAAGAACTCAATGATCATTCTGATTGCTTAATTGCCGTAATAAAAAATTAGTCTAGAAATAGCTGTGGTAGACTAGGCTAAACTGCTCTACCGGTACTGTTGAAAAATAGGTTGCCGAATGTTTTGAATCAAAATGATGACGTGAAACATGTACCCCAGTTTACAGGCTTCAACTCGCAAAGCCACCTCTAAAATGAGCACCAAGAATTTGCAATGGTGAAGTATAAGAAAAATTTCTTCGGGGTCAAAGGTCCATCGAATATCATGCCAACAGGTACGGTACCAGTAGGTTACCGTACCGCATATTCCTTTCAGGGGATAGATTATAAAATATTTTGTTTTGCCCTACTTGTCATGATCATATATTAAATGCATCAATCATTCTAACTGAGCTGAGTGACTGACAGGCCGCACTAACATTAAACTTTCATACCAAGGAGGGGGCCGCAAACTATCGTCCTACTGGCCGCAATTGGCCCGCGGGCCGCGAGTTTGCGACCCCTGATTTAAGTCTCTTGGTGTGGTGGATATTGTTACAATATCCGGTGCTCCTAAAGTATGCGTACCAAAATGGCAGACACCGGAACGTAGTATATGTACCTGGTTAGGGTTAAGCCATAATTTTATTCCAATTTTCCTATTTTAGTTCTATTACGAGTTTGAGGACTAGCCAAGTGACACCTGTAGAATTTGTTTTTAAAATTATAGCCTAACCCTAACCTGGTAGACATACTACGTTCCAGTGTCCGCCATCTTGGTACGCATACGAGTACCCGATATTCGGTAGTATGATTACCACCATTTTGAATACATTTCAATGAACATGGCCGTATGATAACATGGCATGCCAAGGGAATAAAAGGGAAAATAAAACTTCACTGGTTTCGTTTATTGCAGTAGATACCCCATAGTTCTATGTCTTGCTGGGGTTTTGGCAGTGCTGGTGAAATAAATCCGTGCTTAGGACATCAAGTAAAAAGAAGGCTCCACAGGAATTTTTGTTTCTAAAACTTTGCATACATATAGTGCACCAAAATCTTAAATGCTTATGGTCTTTCAATGATCCTGGCTTTTGAGGGCTGTTTAGGACACCGACTTTTTTAAAATAAGTCCACCATTACATGTAAATACTGCTCCTTGAGCCTGATTAGAACGTCCAACTTTATTCGACCATTAAATTTGGCGCTGGGAAGCAAATTCGACGCGGCTTATACGCACTGTCCTTATTTTTTGTGTTCCGTGTGAATGTGAATGTACAGGCTACCGTCTGGGGTAGAGCGTGGATCCAATTTTAGTATAATGTTGGATGAGCAACTATAAATTTGGTTCAACACATTCGTAGCTATCAATTCTGCAATAACTCTGGAGTTTCGAGTCTGACTGGTGTAAATATATGATGCGTGCAGAAAAAAACAGCTCAAGTATTCTCAACCGAGTATTAAGCCAAATAGTTTTTAAACGGGCTGCTAGATAGTACAAGCCTTGCTTAAATGCCACGAAGTTTCGGTGGATACATATCAATAAACTAGTAGCGTTTCATCAATCCCCAGCAAATTAGCCATCAATAGACAATTTGATACCATTGATTCCGAAGTCAAAGTGGATTATGGTATCAAAAACTCAAACTATTCGGCCCGATGCAGAACGAACCATACCGCAATTTCGTGCACAAAAAACAGCAGGCTGTGTACCATAGGTGACATATAATAAAACATTCAGATCTTAAATGTGAAATATATATATTTCAAATTATACCACGTTTAGAAGGAAAATATCATTTCATTTTGAGAACAAAAAATGTAAAAGATCGTACTCGCGGAATAAAGTTATTAGTTATGATATTGTTATAATGTTGTTGCTACACACATACATGCGAAAATATTTCGAAATGTAAATTTATTATAAATTGGTGAGACAATCTGAACGAAGTTTACAATTGAATGTTGCAAATACTAAACGTACGGACAGACAATATATATATATGGTTATAAGTCAATATATAAACATTGATGTATATTTATTTATGCATTCATACATATTTAATTTTCTCGGAACGGCGGGGGTCGTGATTATTCGGATAGGTGTAACGATGATATTATTATATTTTCAATTTAATCTTTTCCAGCTCATGATGATTGTAATGTACCGTACCAAAAAATCGCCCGTGTTCAAGTTTTCGCCAGTGTTTCACATTGAATGTTGTCCATTTTGTGTCTAAATTCGATAAAAAAGGATCGTGGACCAAAAAAAGACTGAGAAAACAGGACGAGGACATCGAAATGGTCAGATTTTGTTCGGTCATAGTTCATTTGTCCTTGTTTGTTTCGTCACTATCAGATCCCATAAGCATTTCTTGGCAAGCAGCTTTCAACTTGGGGTCGCTTGAGATGTAGATGTAGGGATTGGTTGCAATGGAGATCTTGGCGCAAAGCTGTGGTAAAAAGATGGAAGTAAAATAATAGCAAGGCTATATATAAGATCTGATCTATTTTTTTATTATATTTAGAACCCGAAATCAGCGGAAATCATCAGATTCTGAATGTTCGGGACAATGTCATTCTAGTGAGTAAATACCGGTAGCGATGCTGCTATTCTATGCGTCGACAAAAGCTAGGAAAGACAAATTTTTATAATAAAAGTAGAGTAAACTTAATATCGTTAGAACAGAGATGAAATTTAGGTCGAATTTTAAAATCGAAAAATAGCGATCCCAGCGAGCAATTACCGGTAGCAATGCTGTTGTTTTATGCTGTTATTTCATGCGTCACCAACCAATAGTTATTCCTGGAATAGGAAAGGTCTACATTTTGTTTAATGAAGAGCAAACCCAATATTGTTAACACAGAATTAAATTTAAAGTACAATTTTAGGATTGACATATGGGTTTCAGGATAAACTTAATTTGAATAGCAAACAACTAAGGACTGGCCATTAAGTACAATGTCTGTCGCTTGTAACAGTTTGCTAATTATCAAAAGTAAATACCTTATTTTCCCGAAAAGAAGTCAGAGTCTTATTTCAATTTTGTTTCGAATAATAACACTATAGGCCTTATTTTGGGGGATTTCTTTTATTTTCATTTATTAAAAACAAAATTACAGTAGAGAATTATAAAATTACTTACTAGCAAAAAGGTCATATTTAAAGGGAAGAGACTTTTATTAAAATCATTTTAAAAATTAAGCTAGGTCGTATTTTCGGGAAAACACGGTACCAGTGACAGGTAGAAGTCATTAAACCGAGAGTCGCGATCCAAGTTGAGTCACATATCACGGGTCATGGTTACTTGAGTCGAGTCAAATACACAGGTAGTAGATACGTACACTGAGTTGAATAATTATTCTACATTAATTCTTAGATGTGCAATAAAGTAACGATCGAACTAACAGGACTCATCAAATTATATACGAGATACAGCCAATAGGCGGTTCATCAACCCACAAAATAAAGAAGGTACTTACGTTTGATGCCATGGCGAAAGCAACTTGAGGTACGTTAGCTGGTCCGACTAACAGCATCAAGATACTGCAGAGAGCATATGGGGTCCAGGCACATATAACTTGAACAGGTATGACGCGAAGCAACTAAAATTACAAACGTTTTGTTTTAGGTATTGGAACCTTGTGTTGTGAGCATTTGTTCAGCTTAGCGTCTTGTAACGGGACTGGAATATGCTATTTTTTGTTTTATTATCTTGGGGTTGTGTGCGAAGTTAGAGCCGTCATTTCTACTGATATATCTCACAACGAGGCCAATTTGGATACACCGAGCACCCCTGTGCCAGTGTCCGCATTTATCATGTCAACCGTTGTTTGTCTAGCTCAGTGGTTCTCAACCTTTTTTTCTTTCGTGACCCATTTTTGTTGCCCAAAAATTCTTGTGGCCCATTACCTTTTTATTGTCATTGATTGCTGCTACAATCAAAATTAACTATTGTGACATAAATACAACAAGTAATTTTTAATAGTTCTGTGGTCCACCTCAAAATATTCAGAACCTCAAAATATCTGAATATTCTACAGATTTTGCTAGCACCGCTGCAGTTATTTTGAAAATTTAGTACTTACATAACCGTCTCCAGTTTCCTTGTATAACTTTCCGTAGTATTTGACAATGTAGTACATCGGGAAGAGAAACCAGCATACCGTTAACAAGCTGAGATAGGACGCAATTCCGCTGAAACAAAATTCGTTAACTATTTGTTAAAGTTTGTGACTTACGTAAAAGTCGCTGCTAGTCGAGGACCTTAGTTAGAATTATAGACAAATTAGTGAAACTATTTTAGTAGCAATCAATGATGATGCTGTTCTTGCTACTGCTGATTGGTAATTCTCATTTTAAATATTAAGGTGGAAGTGTTTATCTTTACGCAAAGAATCTTTTTTAATTTTCCGGAAGTTTTTCCTTTGCATATGAAAGGTAATGGGCCGCAGAAAAAAAATGGTTTAGAATCACTGTTCTAAACTCACTTTCTTGGGTCACTGAAGTCCAACAAGCAACCAACTTTCAACGGGCTTTCGAATGCAAATGCTCCCATCCCCAACACGGGCAAAAATCCAGCAACAAATCCTGTCACCCAGGCCATGGTTATAAAGAAACCGTAGTTTGTGCCATCTGTAAATAAAGGAATATCGAACTGTGAAAAATTGAAAAAATAAATCTATTCCTTCACTTTTGAATGCAAGTTGTGTTCAGTGACTACTTCAGACTTAATTCCGTGGGTGTTTAAGCTTTGATATGCGATTCTGAATCTCTAAAAACTATGTAGTGGGAATTTCATTTAGTCTGCTGTGGGTAAAATTTTCGGAAAAACGCTATTATAATAAACTAATATGGACATCTCAATTCGGTTGTGTGGGAGGCGAATTAATTAAGAAATAAGGTGGTTAAGTTTGATAGATAGGCGGAATTTTAGAAATACTTTTGCTTTACTGTTTCTATCAGAGAATCAAGAACTTAACAATAAAAGTAATGAAAGCATCGTGATATGACGAAGAAGCCGAATTTACAAGCCGGTAGGCGCCCAGGATCTCCGCTGATACTGCAGTGACCGGGATGCCGAAACTGACAATTAATTTTGAGCGCTGCATGTCTTATCGGTAGGGTATACTGCCATGGAAACGGAACATTAATCCGGATACGGTAAAACGCACATAACTCAGGTGACAGCATAACATTTCACTCATTTCGGTACAGACGCTACAGCTAAATACACAGACAAAGCGGCCGAGTATAAGGGTCTACAGCGGAGATCCAATAAATACCGGAATTTGTTAAATAAGTGTCAGTACTTACGCTGATCTTTTTTGCACTCTCTATTGTACGCGTCATATGCTATTAAAGCTATGTTGGCAAGACTGACCAGAGATGGCGCCATTCCAAAAAAAGCGTTGATCTGAATAGGATAAGATATGAAATACTTTTATATAGCACTGCATTTTCTGTGATTAGTACCACAAAGTTGATGACTTAGATTCGTTTGTTGGACCTAGTTTATGGCTGGCATTATTTCAAAACTAGACTCTCGCTCTATGTTCGTGGGAAGCCTATACATTGCAGGATAGCAAGAAATAGGTAAATTGTGGATAAACCGCACCAAATTAGGCTCCTCGACACAATTAATGGTGATTTCAGGAAAGCTTGATATCGTTAATATACAGGGTGTCAATGAAGTGTCCTTTCAATTTCAATTTTGTTATGAAACAGTTCTCAATATATACATCTTCCCGGTTTGTTGTTTTTCAATCAGTAATTGTTTACGCATTTTACTTCATCAAATACATCTGTGAGGGCCAAAACAATATATGGTATCGATAAATTCTCTTTGCAATTTTAAGACTTTATGGACACCCTGTATTTAAATGGCAGATTTTTCATTCTTACACAACATTCAATGCTGGCTTGGCCCAGCCCGACTTGGAGAACCCGGTTCCTACTTACAACTCTTGGGTATTACTATACAGAAGGAGGTGAAGTTTAACAAACCGTCTACTCAGTTCTCACCTGGCATCCCATGTCACCATATGGCCATGTTTTATGAAATGTAGCCATGATGGTGGTGATCATATGACCGGATATCATTACAAGGTCCGACACACAGAGAGACATCAAGAAGATCGAGCGTTTCTGAAGTTCACGACGTCCCCAGATTGTTCGGAGAAAAATTGCGTAGCCGATCACTGACGCCAAACCTGTAAAATAAATTTGTTTCTGTTGTTACCTAGTTATCACAGTGATGACGTCTTTAAACATATTACAACAATATAATTATTATATTATATTGGGCAATTGTACTGTAACTACTGGTCTAGGATTTTACATTTTCAGTAACATGGGAGAAGATGATAGAACTCTATTCATTATAGTTTTTCTGAGATCTTTCGGACACGCTATTTGAATCAAAATTTTGCTGTCCTATTCAAATTCAGTGGTTCCCAATGTTGATTGACCGCGGGCCAAAATAAGGAGCGGAAGTCTATTCGTAGGCCGGGAGAGGGTAGCGCCTGCAAGGGACCGATACCGGTACGTATGGGATAGCGATATAACTGAATTGTTAAGAATATACACGTACAGTACTGGCGGCATCGCGGACGCAAAAAAATAAAAACATGAAGTGTTGAACTTTTTCACGTATGTTCGGCGGGTCGTATTAAATCATTTCTTTTTTTTAATTGTGCTAGTTTTCTTTCTGGCATTGTGATTGTTTCGTTTGCGATGTCTCATTGTTCCGCTGACATCCAAATTGGAATCCATCCATTGCAGTTTTAGAGCTTGGAACAAGTTGGGTCTCACAAGGCCATTTTGATGAATATTTCAAACGTATTTGTATCTACTGAGTAGTGAAATGCTCTCATAAAGTGTGGACGCAAGACAATTGTAACAACCGATACCGTAATTGATAATAATATTCTGTGGTTAGTCTTAGTCGCTTTTGAGGTGAGAGAGCGACTTGATTGCCGATTGTAACCGGCTTAACAAAAAATTAAATCGTGTATCAACTTACCGAGTGATCCCATTGCCATTCCATAGGCTGCTTTCCCGTAAGGACCAATTGTATGATTCGGCTGCATCATCACGATGATCTAATTAATGGTCAATGATAGATTAGAAAATTTTACGTGTAGTCGATCTGTCGCAAAAAAACAATAAATTTTAATAATATTTTACTTATAAATATCGGTGATTTTACTGTGACAGTCTGTCAATACTTATTATTATCTAAAAGTGGTAATATTTATATAATACCCAACAAATTGGGATTTCCTTTAGCAACTCAAGACAGAAAATCGCCTAGCAGAATCTGAGTTTTACGGAGCTGTGCGTTTCGCATTATTGCCCATTTTTCCTCGGCTGACCTACATCGCCCTGTTATTATAATTATACGCTCGGCTGCAGTTCAGGCATGTAACGATATAATTTGGCAAATTTAGAAAATCTAAAATTTCGTCGCAATTTTGAAATTGCAGCTTCATTTAAGGGAGTCTATTACTGTGTCGCAAATAAAGCCTATGCTAGCCATCAACCGCTTTGGTTACGTTTTGAGTAATCGGATTTTTTTTCCGATAGAGGCGAGCGTTGAGGTGAAACTATAGAGAATTCAGATGCAAACTTATTTGGGCCAGTATATTAAGTAAGCCCTGTTATCATCGTATCATGTTACTGCCTGAATTCACTTGAATCAGATTGGATAGTACCTGTAACTTTATTAGAATCTTATTTTATGATAAAGTAAGTAAATTGAGGTAATTACGGGGGTTTCGAGACATTCGGGCGAATGCTGAAATTTTGAAACAAAAATTAGTTCGAAAAAATTACAGAAAAAAATGCTTTTTAAATTGGTTTTTCAATCCAAATTGGAAGCGGTTTTCACCAAAGTATTTTAATAAAAAGTTACAGGAGGCTAAAAATAAACATATATTTCACCCATTTCCTCAAAATACTGCCCTCGTATTACTGCCCCATAGGTTCGTCAAATTATTGAGCCCTTGATTTCTTCATTTAGTGATTAACAAAAATTTCGACCGTTTCGAAGTTCGAACGATTGTTTTTGATCGCAAATAAATTCAAAAATGAAATAAAAAATCAAATCTGCATTTAATACGATATTTATTGTGCATTATCTACTACTCTAACACCTAGTTGCCAATCGAAAAAAGCTGTTGCAGTAAATAGATATAACGAAGTAGATTGTTTTTTAATAAATAGTTACCATCATGAAGATTAAGGTTAATCTTGTCAGAATGATAATGAGCGCAAAAAAGGTAAAAACCACTGTACTATTTAGTACAAAACTAATGAATATAAACCGTTACGGCAGAATATTAAAATTGATATTTCACACTATTCATTAATAAGACTGGATCTTCAAACTGCCCAGCGTTTCACATCGCCAACAAAATTCTTGTTTACCAAACATGAAAAGCCTTCAACTCGCCACCGTTTTGCTCGCATACATCGCAACTGATGATGAATGCTTTATTTTGCCGCTTATAAACACGAGCTGACCAATAACGACCCGTTTTTCAAAGAAATTAAATAGCTAAATCTCTATTTTTAATATGCAATTGAACTAGAAATGCAGCTTAGATACTGATTATGTTATTAGACTTTGACGATTACTGCTGTGGAAAAACATCAGCAAGTTCAATGGTGAATATACGTTATTGCGACAACATGATGCATTGTAATAACCATGAATAAGACGTCGATGTGAATTAGCACACTATGGTTAGCAGAAGGAATATTTTAGCAACGGAACCATAAATAACTTATCTGACTTGGGCAAATGATGCGGCTGGACGCAAAGTAGCAACTTGGGAGCTTTGTCTGAAACGGCGAAACATAAAAAAGCTGTATTGGGGATTCGAGTGAAAATGTATTTTTGTTTCATTCTTCTGTTACATTTCGTTGAAATACTGTGCCATTTTTCTACCATTTACTGTCGACTCTTTGCCGTTGGTAACATAAATTACGCCTTAGCGCTGATGAATCCGTGTGATTGTTTAATATAAATTGGACCGATACTTGAGGAAATGCATTTCTATTACATCATAATCACATCTTTTTTACTTATTTTGTGATGTCATAGGGAAAGGAGGGAAGAGTTCTTTAACATGCAACACCAAGCATAGCAGTGTTTCACGATTGCGTTTAATCTCTGATTCAGTAATCGATACCAGTAACTCATATTACCCCGGCCTGCATGATATCGATGGAGCTTTCTTTGATCACGTCCTGCGATCAATCTAACAGAGTGTCCTGGTTTGACATTAATAGCTGGGTAAATCGTGATTCTGGACTTGACTTGTGATTTTACTGTTCATCAGATAATCCATATTTCAAATTAAGGCGATCAATGTCTTTGACAGGGCTAAGCGTTAACGGGATCAAATGCAGGCCAACCGGGTTTGCAATGCCCGATATGCGTAATGTAAGGAACGGTAGTTTCCGACCTTTTGGTGGTGCGGAAGATCAATAAACAATCCAGAGGTTCGAGAAACCTCTGCGTACTTGATCATATGTATATTTGCTACACCTTACACGCAGCACCCCTGGCACACTTATTATATGATTATTTTATATATACCCGTATATCAGAATATATTCAAAAAATATACATAGAATAATATAGACTCTCGAACTTGAATGGATACTAGCGGAACCCCTGGACTATACTGGCGAACAGGGGCGTAAGAGAAATTTTCAAAGATTGGGGGGGGGTTCTGAAATTTTTATTTTCAAGTTAGATCGGAACCGTTAGCGGTTCCGAACCAACGCTGGAATACGCGTGTTTTTATTAATCTTGGGGGTCTAAAAAGCATTTTGGGCTACGGAAAATTGCTATATATGACAGAGAAAAATGATTTCAATTTTTTCACAATACAAAAAAAGGGGGGGGGGGGGGGTTGACCCGCAAAACCACCCCCTGGCTACGCCACTGCCGGCGAAGACCTGGTTGAAAACCGCTGGGCAGGTGCTTAATATATATCATTCATATATTACAGCCAACACTTGTCTGATGGACTTGCACTAATCGAACAGAACCATGGGGCATGTTATGTACGTTTACATAGTAGGACAATATGACCATGGTTTGTATTTTTTGCAGTATCTCCAGCATAAGGGATGAACAGAATTCTTACAATTCAGAGCATCAAAAGTCTTTAACCCGTAACATCGGCATAATTAGACCAAATTTGCTAATTGGCATTGGCGACTGCTAAGTGACTTATTTCATTTTTTGTTCATTTTTATAGCAGTGCTGATTGCAATTATATCTATTCGTGTGAGTTTAATTAAAAATAGCATTCCCTAATTACAAATTGTATTGTACAGTATTGTCAGGCATGCAATGTAGACAATACCAATATATATCGGCGCACGTCACTTGGTTTGCTTTTTTGCACTGGAGCAGTTTGGGACGCGCCACAGTTTTTGGCCCTTCGCGGTCTTCGCCCAAATCGTTGTTTCTGTTTTTGAATATATCAAGCCACTATATGAAAGAAATAAATGACAAAAAAAGAGAAGCGAATTGGAGTTTCTTTTGAGGCAATCAAAAGTAAAGCTAAAAGATGGATACGATGGGGCCACCACCACACTATGTGCTCAGCTCTCAAACGCGCTGGAAACCACATCTGCAATTCTGAAATACTTTGATAATTCTCAAAATCATTGTTTATTAAACACTTGTTGCCGTAAACTGGAACTGATTATGGCGTAATTAATAAATCCGTAACTAATTACACATATGAATGAAAGTACTTGATAGGATTAAATCTACTTTGTCTCAGACCGCCACCAATTGAATCGAAATCTATTTGTTGCGGTCGATGGTGGACCTGATGAATGAAACCCCACAGAGGAGCCGGATCTGAATCCGATTAAACCGCTCACACCGATTTTCTATCAATGAATAGTAATCGATTATATTCAAAATCATTGAACTGAGTTGATCTATTTAGATATAATCGGCGATATCCGTGTCGCATTTGCATATTAATTCGGCCAGTATACAAGAGAACTGCGGGTTGTTGTGCATTCACAGTGCGAACTCCTGCTTTTTGTCGAAATTTTAATCTGTGATCAGTGTTATCCAGGTAGCCTTTGGTTATGTCATCATTTATGGAAAATTATAATTAGTTTCATCTATCCACTGAAAAGACTACCACTTATAGGCGAAATTGGAATACTTGCTATCAGAATTGCATTTGCATTATATTTCCGACAGGCTTGTCCATAGGATATATTTTTCTGTCCCATTCCCATCCCATCGAAATTATGCCTGTCCCATCCCATGGGATTTCCATTGGAATAAAATTCCGTCATAAAAAACGTTAAAATAATAGTAAGTTGAACTATAGTAAGAAACAGCTGTTTTGACGATTATATTCTTCGTCGCGCTCTGCTTAAAATTTAACTTCTGACCTATGTTAAAAAATGTGATTCATCGGCCATTCGTTCGGTTTTTAACTTTCTAAAATCATGTGCGGCCTGCCGATGACCCTCAACCTTTAAGTTTGGCCCGCGAGCGACAAAAGATTACCGACCCCTGGTCTACAGGACTACATGTACGAAGAGACGTGCAAAACAACAAAATTTACGGAATTTGTTAACTTTATATTCATAACTATTTATACATGTGTCTATCACTTTACTTAGTAAATTATTTGTGCGGCCCAGTTGCATGTCCGGAGTTGATTATATGGTCCCCCGACAAAAAATGTTGCACACCCCTGATTTAACACCTCAAAATTCACTCTTCTTTGTGTCGATGTATGACGAGGAGTTACGAGCAATACCGGCAAGACGCGGTATTTGAAAGGATTTGCTAGATTGGCCAGTGTAAGTCTATTGGAAAGTCTCCAGCTCTGCCCAACGACCAACTTGCCTAATGTTGAGCAAGTCCATAAACGCCATCCTGTGCCATATTTGGGAAACACTGAACAATGAAGTATTATGGAGAATTTCCGTTGTGTTGTTGTACCGAATCGAATAAGTCAGTTGTTATAGGGGCTAGAATGAATTCGAATGGCATATTTTGAACTTTAAGCTATAATCTATTTAAATATATAACGCAATTTGAAGTAAAAAAAATCTATCTATTGTGTTAATAAATTCGGCCACAAACACAACGTAGCACCATCTTGGTCATTTTTTAAA